CTGCGACTGAACCAAAACTCTAGTGGCAACCGAGTGACTCTCAAACTATCCCCCTAAGCAAGCCCCTAAGGCAGACCCATTTCGACCTGGGAAGACCCACCGAAAACCGGCCGGTCGGAACCCGTCCACCTATCAAGACCGGTCTGGGACCAGTGTCTTCTGCGACTGAACCAAAACTCTAGTGGCAACCGAGTGATCAGGTTGCCCCTATTCTCCTACATACCCCTGTTGCTTTCCTACTCTCCTACTGTGGCTATCTGTCTAACTACGGAGCCGTGCGCAGTTTCCCATCTGCTATGCTTGCCATCACCCCTAGTCTTGCCCAGGTTTTCTGAAACCAACGTCTGCCCGTCGTCCCATCTCCCTGTAGAACCTTCCTTCTTCAATCCGCCCGGAGCTCTGTCTTCAGCATATATCTGAACAACTTGTCTACCTGCTGTTTAGTGAGCTCCCGAGTCCGAAACCTTCTCTCATTCCTCCTGAACTTCTTTTGTAGTTCTCAGATTGTTTCTTAGCCAAAATTTTTAGATTGTCTTAAAATTCTCCTGAACTCTTTTTGTAGTTCTCAGATTGTTCTTAGCGAGAAAAGGTTAACAACATGTTTTTCCTTCAGGATGCCTAAAGAGGTGAATTCAGAATGTCTATAAAGCTCTACAGTGGGAACCATACGGTGGGGACGGGTGCTTTCCAGCCTTCAGGGCGTTCACCCCTTCAGGATCATTTGGGATCCCCAAGCTTGACAGTGGGAGTCATACGATGCGGGGGGGTGCTTTCAGTCCTTCAGGGCATTTACCCCTTTATGATTGTTCAAGATCCTCAAGCTTAACAGTGGGACCCATAGGGTGGTGGGGAGGTTCTTTCAAGCCTTCAGGGCATTCACCCCTTCAGGATCGTTCATGATCCTCAAGCTTAACAGTAGGAGTCATAGGGTGGGAGAGGGTTCTTTCATACCTTCAAGGTATTCACCCCTTCAGGATCGTTCACATTGTTTAGGATGCCAAAACGACATAACACTGTAAACCAGAAGGTGGGGACGGGTGTTCCTTTCAGACCTCCGAATGCATTCACCTTTATGGCATTTACCCCTTCAGGATCGTTCAGGATCCTCAAGCTTGACAGTGGGAG